CTTGAAGATGGGTAAAGGATCGGAAGTCTGCTTGATGCCAACTCCAAACATGTCAAACTTGAAGCCGAGACCTACCATCATGCTATACAGAACTACTGCACATAAAGTACCTTTCAATCCAGAGGCCATCTTTGGAGAACAAAAACCGGCAAACATCCACACGCCAGCAGCAAAATTGGTCACATGAAGTATCTATTCTCAGCGGATACTTGGTTATAAAATTATATTAAAAATTCCACAGAAAACAAAAAAAAAATTAGCAAAGAACGAAAATACACAAAAAGTCCCGCCACCCATGGTGAACAGCGCCCCTTTTTATAGAGACTCCATTGTATAAGCAAGATAATATAAATACATACATTACTCAGTAGATTACCGTTTTCATGGGATCCCAAATTTATAAAGATGAGAATGAAGATATGTGCATCACTCCATAGACTACCGTCAATAGGGACTCCAGTGTACCAGCAAGGGAATATAGATACATACATTGCTGAATAGATTACTATCCTTATGGGGTCTCAAATTTATTAGGAAGTAAATGAAGATACCTCCATCACTCCATAGATTACCGTAATTATGTGGACTCCCTAGATTGTCGTTATTTTGGGTCTCAAATTATTAGGAAGTAAATGATGATACCTGCATCACTACATAGACTACCGTAATTATGGGGACTCCAGTTGACAAGCAAAGGAATATATATGTAAATGCATACATTACTCTATAGATTACCGTCATTATGGGGTCCCAAATTTGTAACGATGAGAATTTAAATAAGTGCATCACTCCATAGATTACCGTCATTATAGGGGCTCCAGTGTATAAGCTAGGGAATATAGATACATACCTCACTTCATAGATTACCGTCAATATGGGGACTTTATAGATTTATCATGATTATGGGGTCTCAAATTCATCAAGATGTTAATGGAGATACCTGCGTCACTCCATAGATTACCGTAATTATAGGGACTCCGGTGTATAAGCATGGGAATTTAGATACATGCATTACTCGAGTATACCCCACAGATTACCGTCAATATGGGGAGTACATAGAAAACCGTCATTATGAGGTCTTAAATTGAAACGATGGCAATGAAAATACCTGCATCACTCCATAGATTACCGTCGATATGGGGACAACAGTGTATCGGCATGAGAATGTTGATTTATACAATACTCCAAAGATTACCGTCAATATGGGGACTCAATAGATTACCGTCATTATATTGACTGCAGTGTATAAGCATTAA